ATTAGTACATAAGAAGAAAGGAAGACTGCAACAAGCCTACTGGCCTATGAGAGGCAGGTCCAATTCTCCCACCGGCTTAAGCTCACAGACCGTCTGACCTCACTGACCTAGAGAGGTCAGACACATCACTTAATTGAGGAGCAGGGCATCCGACCTAGTAGCACAAGCTAGTTAGATCCAACTCATACCCACCCACACCCACTCGTGTATTTATCTAACCTATTTTTAAAACTACACAACGTCTTAGCTTCTATAACTGTACTCGGGAGTTTGTTCCACTCATCCACGACCCTATTACCAAACCAGTGCTTTCCTATATCCTTCCTGAATCTGAATTTTCCCAATTTAAAGCCACTGCTGCGAGTCCTGTCTAGGCTAGATATTTTTAGCACGATATTTACATCCCCTTTATTAATTCCGGTTTTCCATTTATACACCTCAATCAATACCCCCGTAATTCTACGCCTTTCTAAAAAGTGCAGATTCAAAGTATGCTGTATACAGTACCAAATGTAATGGGTGTCTTAAGGTTATTAACAGAGATGTTGGCAAATAAGTATTCACCATATTGATCACTGAAGTATGTGGTGTTACAACATAATACCTCATAAGAATAATATGTGGCAATACCTCCCCCCCATTTGGTCTGGGCTGCAGTTGTGCATCACTGTGTATGCTGGTAGTGTGTGCAGGTCTATTGTATCTTAAACCAGGTTTCGGTAAGAATAATACAGGAGAAGGTTGTATTTAAGGAATCTAAGAGTGTCAGGAGGTTATTTTAGTGGTTACTTAGGGATCTAGTGTTGTTAATTAAAAACTGTTAAATTTCTGGCATAACTGAGGAGAGTTGTGGTTTGTGTTGGTGTGTAGTAAAGGCAGTTACTTACAGTTCAATGTTGACTGGGATTTAGACTGTGTTGATTTAGAACCGAGTCCTTGACAGCATTTAGGTTGCCTGGTAAATATTTAAATTTATAAGGAATTGCAGATGGATGATAAGAGGTAATAATGGGATGATTAGTCAGAATTAGAGTGAATAAATAATGTTTAACTGAAAAAACAAATGTATAATGATAAAGTAATAAAGAAGTAATATATATATATATATATATATATATATATATATATATATTATTAAATATTGTAAAAAACTGGTCAATTAGCAAGAACTCATTTAAAATTAAGTTCTTTCTAAAAATTTTCTCTTATATGTTTAAAGATATATTTTTTTCATTAATGTTAATGTAAAAATTTTTAATTTTGCCCCAAAAAAGAATCTTAGAAAACTTACCTAACCTTATTATAACAAGAACAATTTATTTTAGCCTAACTAAATATATTTTTGATTTGTTTACAAATAATTTAATACTAAACAAACACAGTGAAATATATTTTTTTTCGTTAGGTTCAGAATGATTTGGTGAAATTATTGCATACACAAATTTTCACTTGTCCTATATGGCAAGATGAAAAGTTGCTATTTAAGCCAAGATCGCAAGTTCTGCCCATTCGGCACGACATAAAACCAACACCACAACACACACACAACCCAAAACACACACACACACAAACACACACACCCACAACACACACACACAACACACACACACAACACACCAACACACGCAACACACACACACACGCAACACACACATACACAACACACACACACGCACACACACAACCCCGCACACAACACACACACAACACACACACAACAATACACAACACATACACAACACACACAACACAACCACACACAACACACAAAACAACACACACACAACACACAAAACACACACACACACACCACACACACACACACGCAACACACCCCACAACACACACACACGCAACACACCCCCACGCACACAACACACACACAACACACACACAACACATACACAACACCCCACAACACACACACAACCACACACACAAACCCCACACACACACACACACACACAACCACACACACACACACACACACACACACACACACACACACACACACTTTTCTTACGTAAACAAAATAGTGATCTTATAGTGACTAATAACAACAAAAACTGAGATAGATTGCTGTTTGAAATAGTTTACAGCTGTCAAATAGATAAAAAGTATAAGAAAAACTAGAATTACAGAGAATAACAAGATTTTCTACCAGTATAACAAACTGGAACTACTGATGAAGACTGAGGTACCATAACAATGTTGGTGGATATTAGTGGGTATATACAGCGTCTTATTCTGACTCAGATAGCCCAACATCACTTAGGATTTTGTTGTTAGCTTGTGTTTGGTAGAGACGAAGTACCTCTCTCCTGTATAGGCTGTTTTTACGGCTGTTTTCCCATCCCTCGTAAAGCAGTGATGGATTTTTTTTGGTCATGTTGTAGTGTTGTTAAGTTGTAGTGGAAGTTGTGTGTCGTGTTGGTAAGAAACTCAGTGAAATAAACATGATTTTTAACAGGTTGTGTCTTTGTTAGATACCTATGATGTCGCCCTCTGAAGTGTCTGCTTATGATGTCGCCCTCTGAAGTGTCTGCTTATGATGTCGCCCTCTGAAGTGTCTGCTTATGATGTCGCCCTCTGAAGTGTCTGCTTATGATGTCGCCCTCTGAAGTGTCTGCTTATGATGTCGCCCTCTGAAGTGTCTGCTTATGATGTCGCCCTCTGAAGTGTCTGCTTATGATGTCGCCCTCTGAAGTGTCTGCTTATGATGTCGCCCTCTGAAGTGTCTGCTTATGATGTCGCCCTCTGAAGTGTCTGCTTATGATGTCGCCCTCTGAAGTGTCTGCTTATGATGTCGCCCTCTGAAGTGTCTGCTTATGATGTCGCCCTCTGAAGTGTCTGCTTATGATGTCGCCCTCTGAAGTGTCTGCTTATGATGTCGCCCTCTGAAGTGTCTGCTTATGATGTCGCCCTCTGAAGTGTCTGCTTATGATGTCGCCCTCTGAAGTGTCTGCTTATGATGTCGCCCTCTGAAGTGTCTGCTTATGATGTCGCCCTCTGAAGTGTCTGCTTATGATGTCGCCCTCTGAAGTGTCTGCTTATGATGTCGCCCTCTGAAGTGTCTGCTTATGATGTCGCCCTCTGAAGTGTCTGCTTATGATGTCGCCCTCTGAAGTGTCTGCTTATGATGTCGCCCTCTGAAGTGTCTGCTTATGATGTCGCCCTTTGAAGTGTCTGCTTATGATGTCGCCTTGAAGTGTCTGCTTATGATGTCGCCCTCTGAAGTGTCTGCTTATGATGTCGCCCTCTGAAGTGTCTGCTTATGATGTCGCCCTCTGAAGTGTCTGCTTATGATGTCGCCCTCTGAAGTGTATACCTATGGACCCTCTCACTCTTTCAGACAACCCTCTCTCAGACAACCCCCTCTCACTCTCTCAGACAACCCCCTCTCACTCTCTCAGACAACCCTCTCTCACTCTCTCAGACAACCCTCTCTCACTCTCTCAGACAACCCTCTCTCACTCACTCAGACAACCCTCTCTCACTCACTCAGACAACCCTCTCTCACTCACTCAGACAACCCTCTCTCACTCACTCAGACAACCCTCTCTCACTCACTCAGACAACCCTCTCTCACTCACTCAGACAACCCTCTCTCACTCACTCAGACAACCCTCTCTCACTCTCTCAGACAACCCTCTCTCACTCACTCAGACAACCCTCTCTCACTCAGACAACCCTCTCTCACTCACTCAGACAACCCTCTCTCACTCTCTCAGACAACCCTCTCTCACTCTCTCAGACAACCCTCTCTCACTCTCTCAGACAACCCTCTCTCACTCTCTCAGACAACCCTCTCTCACTCACTCAGACAACCCTCTCTCACTCTCTCAGACAACCCTCTCTCACTCTCTCAGACAACCCTCTCTCACTCACTCAGACAACCCTCTCTCACTCACTCAGACAACCCTCTCTCACTCTCTCAGACAACCCTCTCTCACTCTCTCAGACAACTCTCACCTCTCAACAACCCTCTCACTCACTCAGACAACCCTCTCTCACTCTCAGACAACCCTCTCTCACTCTCAGACAACCCTCTCTCACTCTCTCAAACGACCCTCTCATTCTCACAGACGACCCTCTCTCACTCAGACGACTCTTCTCCGCTCCCCCAAGCAGTTCAAGGTCAGCTGAGGGTCGTTCGGGGAGCATTGTTCCACACCTCAGGTTGATTGTTAGCACCTTTGGTGCCAGTGTTATTCCTGCCACTCAAGTGTGTGTGTGTGTGTGTGTGTGTGTGTGTGTGTGTGTGTGTGTGTGTGTGTGTGTGTGTGTGTGTGTGTAGACTGGGGCAGGATAGAAACTGTAGACGTCACTTACAGTGAAAGATCAAGCAGTGAACAGTGATTGGTATATCACCACTGACAGTGAAAGATCTGGGGGTCAACACAGTGACTGGTATATTACTACTCACAGTGAAAGATCTGGGGGTCAACACAGTGATTGGTATATTACTACTCACAATGAAGGATCTGGGGGTCAACACAGTGACTAGTATATCATCACTCACAGTGAAAGATCTGGGGGTCAACACAGTGATTGGTATATCACCACTCACAGTGAAGGATCTGGGGGTCAACACAGTGACTGGTATATCACCACTCACAGTGAAGGATCTGGGGGTCAACACAGTGACTGGTATATCACCACTCACAGTGAAGGATCTGGGGGTCAACACAGTGACTGGTATATCACCACTCACAGTGAAGGATCTGGGGGTCAACACAGTGACTAGTATATCACCACTCACAGTGAAGGATCTGGGGGTCAACACAGTGACTAGTACATCAACAAAGGTCACACCAACACAATAAACTCTGCAGTCAATGTTCTTCCTGTAAATCTAAGAGTCACCAGCAGGACTCTCAACAGCCAATTCTGGGACTTTATACAAGATATGTCAGGAGCATCTTGGAGTACGTAGCACCAGTGTGGAACCCACACCTGAGACAACAGGTAAAGAAACTGTAAAGTGCAGAAATACTTACTAAGACTAGTCTCAGTGCTCGAGAGGCGGGAGAGAGGTACACAAGGGCACAGCTGGAAGATGAAAGCGAGATAAGTCACAGTAATTAACTTCTACACAGATACAGCACTTGAATGTAATAATAATAACACTAATAATAATAATAATAATAAAACTACTAATAGTAACTGCGCTAATGTAATAATAATCATAATAATAATATGGTATACACAGTAGGTTATATAGAGAGTATACACGGAGTATACATTTTCCACCATAGACTATAAACTTTACCCTGCGCTACCTTGGGCATAAAACTGTGTTCATAGAGAATACTGATGAGAGGAATTAATTAGAAGAGTGAGAGAGAGCGAGAGAGCGAGAGAGAGAGCGAGAAAGAGAGCGAGAGAGCGCGAGCGCGAGAGAGAGAGCGAGAGAGAGCGAGAGAGAGCGAGAGAGCGAGAGAGAGCGAGAGAGCGAGAGAGAGCGAGAGAGCGAGAGAGAGCGAGAGAGAGAGAGCGAGAGAGAGCGAGAGAGAGCGAGAGAGAGAGAGCGAGAGAGAGCGAGAGCGAGAGCGAGAGAGAGCGAGAGAGAGATAAAGGACAGCTTGAAGCAAGTTTCTATACCACAAGACGGGCAGCCAGCAGCAACTTCACTCTGGCTGTACCCTTCTCCAGAACATCACTTCATCTGAGATCATATATACCCAGGATGACTCGAGTATGGAACACATTCGTACAGCATAATGATGTCAACGAGATAAAGTCAGCTGATCAAATGAAAATGCTGGCCCACAGATGGCTCCAACTTCATCCTGTTCCCTACTTGTATGTCTCATAACAAAAATGCTTTCAAATGAGCTGATGTAGGTAACATCTCTTAGCTTTTCAATTAAGTTGGGAATCCTTAACCTGTAAATAGCTTGTCAATAAAGCTAGGGATCCTTAAACTTGTCAAACCCTGTGTAAAAAAAGGAGAGAGAGAGAGAAAGGGTGGGAAGAGAGAGAGAGAGAGAGAGAGAGAGAAACTTAAAAGATACGAATTTGCCCTAAGCATAAGAACGTAAGAAAGGAGGAACACTGCAATAGGCCTATTGGCCCGTACTGGGCAAATTCATCTCAGATCCAACCAACTAGCCCATCTTCCACTTATACACTTCCACTATGTCTCTCCTTATTTAAGAGTCTTCAATCTTTCTTCATACGGAAGATGTCTAATGCTATGTATTAATTTTGTCATTCTACGCTGAATGTTTTCTAACTTCTGTTGCTTACACTTCTTGATATAAATCCCAGTAATCTATTTGCGTTATTACGTACGCTTAGGCATTGCTGTCTTGGTTTCAGGTTACTGCTTATCATAACCCCCAAGTTCTTTTCGCATTCTGTATGGCTAAGTTCTACATTATTGAGCTGATAAGTGCTAGGGTTGTGGACACTCCCGCTTCAGGACTTATTTATTTATCTACACTGTAGTGCATATGCCACTTTTCAGACCAGGAACTGAGTTTGTCTAAATCCTCCGTGACATCTACGTCCGAATCAATTATCCTATCTTCGTGTCAGCGAATTTGCTCATATCACTAGTAATTCCCTCATCAAGGTCATTGATATATATTATAAACAACAACGGGCCCAACACTGATCCCTGTGGAACGCCACTTGTTACAGATCCCCACTCGGATTTAACCCCATTTATGCACACACTGCTTCCTGTCCGTGAGCCAGGACTCAATCCACGACAGTACTTGTCCCCCAGTACCATGAGCTGCCACTTTAAGTCTCTGGTGCGGTATTCTATCAAAAGCTTTACTAAAATCCAAATAAACAATATCGAATTCTTGATCGTGATCAACAGCTTCAAAAGCTTTACTGAAGAAATTTAGTAAATTAGTTAGGCAGGAACGGCCCCTCGTGAATCCATGCCGAGTATCATTAATCAAATTATGTTTATCAAGATGGCTTCTTATAATATCAGCTACATTTGAATTAGTAATTTACCTAAGGTTGAGGTCAGGCTTATTGGTTGATAATTTGACAGTAACAATTTATCCCCTGCCTTAAAAATAGGAATTACATTAGCCATCTTCCACATATTAGACATTACACCTGTCTGAAGATATATATTAAAAAAATTAGTTAATGGTTCACAAAGTTCCATTTTGCACTCTTTAAGAACCTTGAAAAAAAAATTCATCAGGGCCCAGGGATTTATTTTTCCGTCTGTCTATTTGTTTCACAACCATTTCGCTAGTGATTGTTATATTACATAATTGATCTACTTCAGTCTACTATAAAAATTAAATCCTGGGATATTGTTAGTGTCTTCCTGTGTGAAAACTGAGAGAAAATAATTATTTAAAATCGAGCACATTTCATTCCCCTTGTCAGTAAGATGCCCAAAATTATTTTTAAGGCCACCTGTCTTTTCTCAAACTTTTGTTGTATATACCTGGAAAAAGCCTTTCGGGTTCGTTTGTGTATATATTGATCTTCGAGATGACCCTCACCTGTTTTGATGCGCCTATTAATTCCTTTCTTCTACCTAAAAGGTGTTTGAGCCTATTGTTTATCCATTTCGGATCATTTCTATCCTATATCATTTCTCTAAATGGAATAAATGTTCTCTGGGCAGCATGTATAGATTTAGAAAACTGTCATACTGATAGTTCTCTTCGATACCCCAGTCTACAGATGACAGGTGTTGTCTAAGTCCATTGTAATCTGCTAAATGAAAATCTGGGTCTGTTACTGAATTATCCCTACTGTCATACTTCCAATCGGTACTAAGGTAATTGGTTTGTAGTCGCTTACGCCAAGTTCTTCTGTAATCTCTGGATTATTAATAAGGGCATCCGTGTCAGCCGGAATTAAATCAAGCAGGTTATTTCCCCTCGTTGGTTCTGTCACAAACTGCTCCAAAAACAAGCCAATGAATTCTTATCCGAGTTAAGGTCTCCTATTATTTCTACGTTATCGTGCATTGTGGTCCTTAACAATCCCCCCCCCCCCCCCCAAAAAAAAAAAATAGTCTTCCTTGGTCCCTAAACAAGTTTTGGGGACGGTAAATTAAGCTTAAAATTTATTTTTCACTCCCTTTCGAAAATTCCACCCATTCAGACTGTGTTCTTTCAGTTTTAATGCCCAAATTTATGCAGCAATTTAAATGTTCCCTGACATACATCGCCACCCCGTCCCCTCCTTCCCGTTCCTTCAATCGAAGTGGAATAACTTGAAATCCCGAACGTGACATCCAGCAGACATGTCCAGTTTCTTCATGTCTCAGTTATGTCAAATACGTCAGTATTACCCTCACTTCAACTAATCTCAACTCATCCATCTTGTTTCTAACGGTACGCCTATTTCTATATATTTAGAAGCCCACACTACTCTTCTCTCTGCTCAGTCGTACTTCATCACTGTCAATAATACAATCCTTATCACCTAGCCTCACTGGCTTTCAGTATTTATAAATAACTACCTCATTCTGCCTAACATTATCACTACAGTGAGAGTTCTTCCTGTTCATTTGTAATGTATTCCAGTTCATTGCTTTCCCACAAAAGCCCATACCACTATTTCTAGTTTGAAGCCCAAACAGCTCCCTCCAAATGCATTTCTCAATGCCATCAACCAAAACCTAGAAACTTGAACCCCATCCCTGGCGTACATGCCATTTCTACCACAGAAGAAGTCTCAGTTATCTGTGAATGTTACTGCACTGTTCTTTCACTATAATTATCCAATGGCGTTGTTCCGGAGATAATCCTGACACACAGCTTTCACTCCTTGAATTTCTCTTCTTGCTTTCTGTTAACTCCCCCGTAAGTTGGAGATATAGCTACTCATAGTCGAGGGGAAGCCATCATTACAGTCTCAGTACATAACAATGGAGAGCACACTAGTCACGTCTTGAAAGAGTAAGGTCACCACTGAGCATGGTCCACGTCACCACTGAGCATGGTCCACGTCACCACTGAGCATGGTCCACGCCACCACTGAGCATGGTCCACGTTACCACTGAGCATGGTCCACGTCACCACTGAGCATGGTCCACGTCACCACTGAGCATGGTAGACGTCACCACTGAGCATGGTCCACGTCACCACTGAGCATGGTCCACGTCACCACTGAGCATGGTAGACGTCACCACTGAGCATGGTAGACGTCACCACTGAGCATGGTAGACGTCACCACTGAGCATGGTAGTCCATGACAGTCCACGTCACCACTGAGCATGGTCCACATCACCACTGAGCATGGTCCACATCACCACTGAGCATGGTCCACATCACCACTGAGCATGGTCCACATCACCACTGATCATGGTCCACGTCGCCACTGATCATGGTCCTCGTCACCACGGAGCATGGTCCACGTCGCCACGGAGCATGGTAGACGTCACCACTGAGCATGGTCCACGTCACCACTGAGCATGGTCCACATCACCAGTGAACATGGTCCACGTCACCACTGAGCATGGTCCACGTCGCCACTGAGCATGGTCCACGTCGCCACTGAGCATGGTCCACGTCACCACTGAGCATGGTAGACGTCACCACTGAGCATGGTAGACGTCACCACTGAGCTAGGTGCACGTCACCACTGAGCATGGTCCACGTCACCACTGAGCATGGTCAGCGTCACCAGTGAGCATGGTCCACGTCACCAGTGAGCATGGTCCACGTCACCAGTGAGCATGGTCCACGTCACCAGTGAGCATGGTCCACGTCACCGTTCACCACCACGGAGCATGGTCCACGTCACCACGGAGCATGGTCCACGTCACCACGGAGCATGGTCCACGTCACCACGGAGCATTGTCCACGTCACCACGGAGCATGGTCCACGTCACCACGGAGCATGGTCCACGTCACCACGGAGCATGGTCCACGTCACCACTGAGAGACGTGGAATGAGAGGATATATCATCCAAGTGTACAAGTGGATAATCTACATAAACAATGGCGATATTAATAAAATACCGAGTGTATCGAGTGTAGCGAATTTAATTTAAATAAATTTAGATTAGGGAAGTCACAGGTAAGAAGTGGCTTTCGAACACAGTCATGGAT